ATTTTTTTGCACATGTCGAGGAGTGTGTCAGGCTACATTTCACTGTGTGTTATACTTGTATAACTATGCATGTGACAAATAAAGAACCTTGAACCTTGAACCTTGAAACGAGCCAGTTGAGGTGGTTCGGGCATCTGATAAGGATGCCTCCTGGGTGCCTCCTTGGTGAGGTGTTCCGGGCATGTCCCAGTGGGACACACTGGAGAGATTATATCTCTCGGCTGGCCTATGAACGCATTGGTGTTCTCCCAGATAAGCTGGAGGAGGTGGCTGGGGAGAGGGAGGTCTGGGCTTCTCTGCTTAGGCTGCTGCCCTGCAACCTGGCCGCCGTGGATAAGTGGAAGAAGATGGATGGATGGGTGGATGGATGGATGGATTTTGCAGAAAAACACAATATTTCTTACATATGCGTAAATATGCTGTACTTTTCGGGGTGTGTGCTATATTTAATAATTTGTAGACCTGTGTGAGCTTTTAGTGATGGAGCCAAAATATGCCTCACAACCTGAAAAGTGCTGTGTACCATTATTACCATGAAACTACACGGTACTTAAAATTACTTTCTTTGTTTCCTAACTAACTTTTTACCCTCTTATTCTAGTGTAACTGCCTTTAAGTATTTGTAGGTAAATTTAACCACAGCGTAATTGGGAATTACCCCCTTAGTTGCAGGCATTAAACATACTCACCATCTGGGTCACACAGAAGCAGTGTTTAAAGTTGTGGAAAGGGATGTTGTTGTATCTGCGATAGATTTCGAACAGAAACTGCTGCAAGACTTCGGGCTCGATGTTGAAGGTTGGTATAAAGTCTAAATCTGTGTACATGACTTGCAGGAGCACCATAATCTCTGCATCCTCCCACTGCCTGCACATCACCAGAAAAAAACAATCAATAGCCAACCAGTCAACATTTGTCCTTCCACTCGGATTTCCAGGCTAAATGTGACCTGCCAATTTTTAGCTTAAAAAAAAACCCTTGAAGGGTGAAAGGTTTTCTAATGGACACACAGATAATGTAAAAGACATAAATTTCCCATTGCTACAAAGTCCAAGAATGGATCTTTCAGCACATCTTTCAAGACAAGATTTTGAGGAAAGACAAGCAGACGATAATTATTCAACACAGAAATGCAGAAGCTGTGGAGTCAGCTGAAGTGTTGAGGAAGGAAAGAGGAAAATTATTGAACCACATTTAGACATATTCAACCCTCTGATGCCAAAGTTGGAATAGTGAGGACCATAACCATCTGTCATGAAATTCTTTTCTTTAAAAAAAAAAGGTGAAAGTCTTGCAAATCCAGAAAGAACAAAAAATGTTATTTTGATTGACACAAACAAAAAAATATTCCAGTGCTGTCAGCGTTAATCTCGCTAAAACGAAATTAACGCCATAACCACATTAACACGTCAGATCTCTGTTAGCGAGTTCGCCCAGTGCCTGTGGCTGGCTGCACAGCTCATTAATGCTCGTTAACGCGTTAGCGCCGTCCAGCCACACGCATCAGGGTGATCTGCGATAACTCGCCAACAGAGATTTGCCGCGATTAATGCTGACAGCACTAAAATATTCATAAAAACATCAGTTTTCACTATATTTCTCCAAAATTTAGTGCAGGTATAGCGTTACCACCTTTCTGTTTGCTGGGACCCTGTTCCCACATTTGTTTATCTATCTACTGAACATCTACTTTTGCATTTTTGCTTAAAACTCATGTGTTTTTTTCTTTTCAAACACATGTTGGACTGTGCTCTGTGTTCACGAGGAGTGGTTGCACTCCTGTGTTGAGAAACATACGAACACACTGAGGGTTTTAGTCTTTTCAGTAAATTTGTTTACAGCAGCAAGAGTGCAGGATCACGTCAGAATTATTCCTGATAATACTGCACTGGCCAACTTGCAAAAAGCACATTTTATCAGGTGTTTAGAGGAATCCTGTAATTTAGCTCCAAGCTTTAGGTGTGTACGTTGAACTTAACCTCATCGATGCTCCTCTATTGCTGCAGGTTTGCTTTAAAAGCTTTTGGACAAATGAAAAGATAACCGAACCTTAGTGAATGCATGGCGCTCACTTCAAACGCGGTGTGCATATTAAGGCTTTTCTAAAGACCTTCTTTTAATTAGCGAGTCCTCATCCAGGCCTATTCATATTGAGATGAGTGTGCGGATCAGAAGAAAAGGCTGAGGGCTTCCATCCTCTTCAGAAACACATCAGATGTGTTTGTTGGGCACGACTGTCATTAGCTGACCGCCTGCCTCACTGTCCACGGAGGAAACAGGTGCGCTCGTTTATTTAGGATCACAAAGACGCATCAGGGTGATGAACACAGATTCAGCAGGTGACATTAAAAGCAATTAGATTCATGCATTTTAAAGCAAAACTTACCAGTTATCAAAGGTTGGCGTCTTCAGGTACTGCCTCACTTCCTCAGATACCTCCAAAGAGCTGCAAAGATTGTGGCATGAGGAGTAAGAATAGCAAATTATTCCAAACATTTTAATGTGAATTTTTACAAACCTCATATGCAGGAACTTTTCCCGCACATGTTCACACTCTTCCCTGGTTTTATGCAGCGTCCTTTTGTGGTAGAACGGTGAGGGCTTGTGGGTTCCCTCCGAGAGATCTTTGAACAGCCCCAGCCAGCTTAGATGCTCCACACTCTGAAGACAAATGGCAAGCAGCACTGAACACAAACCTACTGGAGCTCACACTACAAATTATTACGGACTTCTTCCTAAGTGATTATTTCCCCAGCCCTGCTGCACTGTGACATCTAATCATAGGGTTCCCCCACCTGCCAAACCCACTTTATCCCCATGTTTGTCTCTAAGTTTTGAATTTAAAAAAAACTTCTGGTATTTTTGTTCAGTTATTTGAGGCGGAACAAGCTTAAACAACACAACACTGGATGTGGGAAACTTTGCTGGGATACCTCCAGTTTCTCTCTGAATGAATCCACCTGCTTCTTCATCTCATACACAACTGCAGGCGTCTCGCCAGCCTCGATGAGGATTTTCTTCTCCAGGCCCTGCAGTCTGGGATCAGTGAAGCAACCATTCATGAACTTTTCAGCTGTACGTGTCATGGCTCAGATTCTGGTCTTTAATGCCTGATATGAGACTTTAAAAAGCACACTGATGGTAGCATACCTAAGAGATCTTTACGCATGTTCTCTCCTTTAATACCCGGCCTGCCCCACCTACCTTTTTTCCATGGATGACAGGTCAAATCCTAGTGCACCAGCAAGCTCGGCACCTGAAATGACGTAAAAAGATGGAGACCGTCATCAGTTTCCATGTGAACTAGATCACTGCCATTCCCACGATGCCTAATTAAAGATACCTAATAGCTCACTGTTACAGTCGGCAGCCACCACCTCCAGCTTGTAGCACAGGTTGGGGCTGTTGGGTTCAAGGCTCGGAGAAATGTTGATGATGTTGCCTTTAGGGTTGTACAGTTTCAGGATGTCATGGGGTCCGGCCTCGGCGGCAGAGCGGAACAGATCTAGAAAGACCAGCTTGAGGTTTATTTTATAGAATCACTTGAGGAAATCCAGGAACTGTTATGCAAATGAACAGACATATATAACCACGTCCACATTACTAACCAACTTTGATATGAATCATTTAATTTAGACTTCGATTTTTTGTCTGTTCTGAGCTATTTTGAAAGTTTTCTTGCATTTTGTTTTCTTTAGGTTATTGATATAATTTTTGTGCTAACACTTATATAATAGTTGTAAAGTGCTCAGTATCTAAACAACCCATTATCGTTAAACAACTGTAACAACCAGCAACACCAACAGTCACCAACAACAATCCACAACCAGCAACAATCAGCAACAACCACAACCAACAACCACCAATAACAACAATCAGCAACAACAACCAACTATAACAACCAGCAACAACAAAAACCAACATCAACAAACAGTTTATCAGAAAAAAGTAAAATCTACTTAAGAGGGGTGATTTACACAAATTTGGTTAGTGTGGTTGTGCTATACTCATACTTAGGTATTCAATATGAACTTCTATAATCATACAATGTATATTAAACTAAAAGAGGTCTATTATTTATATTCATAGCACTTCATCTAATATTAGTTTAGAAATGTTTTAATATACCCAGTTCTCAGAGAATTACAGTACTTAGAAAGCTGAGGGGGGTTTTGCCTTAATGTGCCCCATACACCGTAGTGTCTCAGAAACACAAGCAGCCCCGAACATGATTGGGAGGCATTAGGTACTGCAGGAGTCTCTATTATAATTATCAGTCACAAACGCTGAAAAACACGCATCACACATGTAAAGTTTTCTATAAATGACTGCACTGAAATATTAACCAAAAAAAGATGTAAAGGTAAACATTTTTGACAGTGCCTCGATTCTGAGCTTCCCACTGCAGAACTGTTTAGAAAAATCAAGCACAAATTAAGTGGAACGAGTGCCTACAACTATGCAGGTACAATGTTCAGATAATTCAATACAGGAAAGTAAACTTCAAAAACTAGTACAGTAGAAGTTAAATGCAGTCATCTAAATTAAGTAAGAACACTGCTTGCAGTTACAGCCCTGTTCTAATGAGTAAAATCTGCAGTATGTAATGTGCGTGGAGACCGTGATGCCAAAGGCTGAAGCTGCTGTGAGAGGTGAGGAGCTGTCAGTGGCAGCTGTATTTGCAGCAAAGACTGCTTTGTCTTATGTTGATCCATTTATCAAATTTGCTTTATTGATTTTAGTCACAAAAGAGTATTTCCTGAACTCTAAGCATAAGAATATTCCACTTTAATTCATTTGTCCAAAACAACACGTTAGAATGCATTTGATCATATGAAACATAAACTTCAGCTTCGGCTCCTACCTTTGACGTCCTGAGCCGGACAATCAACCGGGAACTCCGCCTGCTCCGGTCTCCCGTTCACCGTGAAGTAGATTACTTTTGTTTCCATGTCATGAATCTAAACCCACTGATGCTGCTGTGTGCACTGCTGATCTGGCTCTGATGTCTATCTCCTCTTATTATCTTAATGATAAACACTCCACCCCCTCTCCACCTCCTCCTAAGCTCCTCCTCCTCCCCTGCCTTTGGACTCCAACATTTCTCAGAGCAATAGCCAACTGTCTTCACCCGAAATTTAGATTTTTATAACAATTACAAAGGTTATGAGGGTGTTTTTTTTTTTTTCAAAAAATGATTACAGTAGTGGTTCTCAAATTGCGGGTGACAAATTAAGGGCACAGAGGTGAACATGGTGTTGATTTTTAATACGAATATAATTACAGTTCTACAAGAAAGAGAGAATGGTCTTTATAGAGTCAAACTGAGAATGAGATAACCAATCAGAGTGTTTTTGGCTGATTTTTAAGTGCTGTAGCGAACCTGCTGTTTAGTGCACGTTGTGCCCCTATGCTGTGATGCTGTGTTCATACAGCAGTAGGCACATTGCTATGAAAGAGTATTAGGACCATGTTAAGAATTTTATAGAAGGTACAGGAGCCATTGCAGTTGTTTGGTTGAAACAACAACCACAATCTCCCCATTTAGACTTTTATTCTCAAAATACTAATTAAATTTAATGTCGAAATTTCAACTTTAATCCTAAAATGGCCATTTTTTTTTCTAAATGTGAAAACTTTTATATGGGTTTTTTTTGTTTGTTGTTTAAAATTTGACTTTTATATATTTTTAGTTCATATTTTTGTATTTGTGCTTTTATTCTCCACAGTTTTAAGTTTTCTTTCATTTTAATTTTGATATATTTCATTTTTATGTATTTATTTATTGCATTTGTTTTCAAATTTATTCAATTTTCTTTCCAGTTTTTGCACAAATGTGTTTTTCTTTCCTTGAAATATTTATCTTTTTTGTAATTTAAACTTTAAGACTTTGCACCAAAATGTATGAAATCTTATAAAATAAAATATGATGCCTGCACAATGACTTTTTTCAGTTTTACACATTTTTATATTTCAATTCTTAGGATTGGTGATTGAAGCAGGAATTTTTTTTATCATAATTAAAATGTTATGAGATGTTTCTTATGAATAGAAATGTAGAGGTTCTCAAACTTAAATAAAGATGCGCACAGCCAGGTGAGACATAAGAAGTGATAATCACATAAGAAAATGAGATGTTGATTTCCCCTAAATATAGCTTTTACTACTACTACTAATGATAATAATAATAATGATAATAATAATAATAATAATAACAACAACAACAACAAAAACAACAATAAAAAAAAGAAGAAGAAGAATTAACTAAAAATAAGATTTAGCCCAAGATTCTGACTTTAACTTAATTTAATTTCAATTCAATTACTTTTTTTTTTTTAATTTTCCATTTTTTGTTAAATAAACACGATGTAAAATGTTAAATTTAAAGGAATATGTTCAAATTAAATGTACCAAGAACATTTTCTAAAATATTCTTAAAGAGGAATAATTTTATAAGTACCTTTGTTTTGTTGTACTTTCACTTTCCTTTAATTAAAACATTGTTTAATTTTTTACTGAGGTTTTATTTTCTTTCTTTTTTGAGCGTACTAACAAACATTCCTCCGCACCTGTAGGTGTCGCTGCACAGAGCGCGGAGCTGCAGACGTGACGCGATTCTCCGGCACTCGTTGGTGTTCAGCGCATGTGCAGCCGGATGTGGGTCATTATCAGCAGCAGCATCGTGGTTTATGGACGGCTAAGTGAGTGTTTGTCTCAGTTTATGTGGCGTTTGTAGCTTCCGACAGCGAAAAATGAGTGAAAGTGGCGCCGAAGCGGCTCCTGCTGCGGCCAAAGAGCTGCTGGCGCTGAATCCTGCACAGGAGTCCGACTTCAGAAAGAAGGTTCAGGAGGTTAAGAAGAAGAAATCAGGCAAGGTGGGTGAGACATGTGGCCTTGAAGGAGACCCGATAGTCTGCAGTTATTTTTCTTTTGTTTACTGTCGCTGAGTTTACTCTAAGACTGCCTATGTCTCTCTCTGTAGTCTGTGTTTAACTCTGGTTCAGGTGCCGTGACATCTTTATAGGCTCGTGGTCTTTACTCTGTCAGTCGGCCCACGTGCAGCGTATTTACTCAGGTTTACAGATGTAAGGCAGGCCCATTTTAAAAAAAGAAGAAATAATGACATCCTGTCTCAAGTTATTAAGTTTACGGACTGAGAAGAAGATTAATGTTATTACAGTAAAGAAATAAAGAGAACTGGCCCCAAAGAAACGTGACCAAACTGAATGTAAACTGATTTAAACAAGAAAATCTGTAAATGAGGCGAACATCTGTATGTTTAATATATATAAAGTGTATTTATTTTGTACTTTTATTTTGTAGACTTTTTAAAAGCCGGTCTGGGAAAAATAAATCTTTAAAGTTGTTTTTTCTCATAATTTAGTCTGTGCATTATATTGTATTATAAATCACAGGTGAAGGCCCAGCTCTCTGTGTAATGTGGTGATCTGTCTTTCCCCCATCACAGGCAAACCGTCTGACCCCAGGAGTGATTTACGTCAGCCACCTGCCCCGAAACCTGGTGGAGCCTCAGCTCAAATCTTACTTCGGTCAGTTTGGGAAGATCCTGCGGCTGCGGCTGTCCCGCAGTAAGAAGGTAACCCTGAACATGTGGAAACAAACGTGTGAATGTGTGAGGGGCGATCAGAATCTTCAACTGCATCTCTAAAACTTTCACAGCTATTGCAGCGATGTATCACTTCCTTAAAAACTTCACTTGGAGTCTTTTTATTTTTATTTTTGATAAAACTTTAGAGGGAAATGGTCACTGAGAGGCTGATTATAGATTGTGTGGTTTGAGGCCTCATAGCCAGAACAGAAACTTCCAGATAAAAATCTCAGGTATAACTCACCAGAAAAGGAGCCCACATGTTGCATCTAAGCAAAAAATGACGTTTGAACTATAACTTGGTAAAAAGTTGCAGGGATTTGTCTCCTGAAAGCAGTAACAAAGTAATAAAACTGACTCCCAACACCTCCGTGTTTAGCAGGAGCAGTTGAGGAACTTCTTGATTGCTATTCTTGAATCCAGCACGCTCTGCAAACATTCCGATTTCTTTATTTTGGTTTAAGTAGTCCAGGCAGGAGCCTGTTTGAAGCCCCACTTCTTAAAATCTGGAGTTTTGGCTGAGACTGAAAATGATCTCAGATGTAAAAGTGGTCTGAGGTCAGATAACTGAGCCTAGAGTACTCTGGTACATTAAGCTTATCACCTGCTCTGCCTGTTATCAGAGTGATAAAACCCATGTGCCAACAAACATCTGGAGGGAATGAAAACATCTGGAGGGCAGAGTCTGTGACTGTCACTTTATTCCTCTCTCTGTGTGTTTGCAGACTGGTAACAGCAAAGGTTACGCTTTCATCGAGTTTGACTGCGATGAAGTGGCGAAGATCGTTGCAGAGACGATGAATAATTACCTGATGGGAGAGAGACTCATCAAATGTGAGTCAAACCTCATCTTTTAGATCCTGATTCACAGGAAGTTTTCCTCTAAGGGTCTTATTTCCTACCTGATGTTTATTTAAATGTATACTTTTTTTTCCTCCCAGGTCAGGTGTTTCCTCCCGAGAAGGTGCACGAGAAGCTGTTTGTCGGCTCGGAGCGAGGGTTCAAAAAGCCGACGTATCCCGCGGTAACGCGTTACAACAAGAAGCACACCGAGGAGGAAATTGCAAAAATGACCGGCAAGCTGCTGCGCAAAGAGTCGAGGCTCCGAAAGAGGATCGCCGCATACGGCATCGAGTACGAATTCCCCGGATTCGTAAGTGTTTACACGCTGGAGCGGAAACATTAAACGGATTTAGGTTTTAAAAACTGGAAATGTGCCGTGACATGGCGGCATATTTAAAGGCATCTGATTTAAGTAATGGATTTCTTCCAACTAAATTCCAAACAGCGTGCAGCTGTGATCTGTTCAGAAGCTTCAGTTTTTACAAAAAAGAAAAATGATCTTCAGTGAATTACAGGCTGATACCAGCGATTTGGAATACTGGTGATTCCATATAAATTCAACTGAATCTGGAAAGACTTTCCCACCTGTCCCCCTCAGAATCATCTGGTTATTTACAGAAACTTTAGATTATTTAATGAAGCCATGCACACTTTTACCCTCATGCTTTCTTTCGAGTCATTCCCTGCAGGAATCTCCCCACTTCAAATATAAATTCCACAAACTAAACTCAGGGCTGTTTGTAGCTTAATAAAAAGGTTTTCAAAGTATGAAATCCTGTGATGTGCTGCGATTTAAGCCTGCGGGCTGCTGGGACTTGCAGTAGACAGCCTGCACAGTAAACAGTGAAAACTACAATCAGTGTCTTCATGCTCCTTTATTTTGTCTGAGCAACAGTCCAGAAAGTCAAAGCAGATTCTCTTTTAACGTCGGGCCTCAGTTACTGTGTGCAGTCAGGACTGTTACACTGTCAGCTCGGCTTGTGAAAAAGTGAAATTTTTTTTTTTTTTGAGATTGTTTGTTCTTTCCGAGGTCTTATAAACTTCACCTTCACTGCTCTCTGTGCTTTTCCAGGCTGCTCAGGTTCCTAAGAAGAAGTCATCCTCCGATGCTGGGAACGTATCTTCGTGCACTGACGTAAGTCTTGTTGTCATGTTTGGTTTTATGTCGGGCGCAGAGTGAAAATGGCCCCAGGTCTCTCAGTGGTCTGGGGTCAGATAACTGTGCCTAAAGAACTGCGGTGCGTTAAGCTTATCGCGCGTGTCTGATAGTGCCAGCGTGATAAAACCCATGTACCAACATTTAAGCCTCTTACTTAAAATAGATGCATTTAACAACAAAATCTGCAAAAAAAGGATTGATATCATCCAGAGAGACAGTAGAAAGGTGTTGAATTTGATGCCTGAGCTTCATGCTGTACTTCCATGCAGTACTGGTTTTTACCACAAGGTGGAGCAGTGAGTCAGTGTAATCTTTGCTCTTCTTTAGGACAGCACACCTGTCTGCACACCCTCTTTCCTCGAGAGAAGGAAGTCCACGGCGGCGGAAAATGATGCTGATGATGAGATCATCATCAAGATGCCAGCTGTAGACAAAGAGGAAGACTCTGAGGAGGAAGACTCTGAGGAGGAAGAGGAAGAAGGGAGTGACGATGAGGAGGAAGAGGGAAGCGAGGAGGACTCTGAGGAGGAAGCAGAGTGAAAGTCCTGAGTTTTGTTGTGGACTCTGAGAGCAGAGAAACGAACGTCAGGATCCTGAACTGAATCGTTCTGTGTTCAGAAATCGATGGGACATGTTTGTGTGACGGACACCGCTGAAGGCGAGCTGCGGCCGCGCGTGTACGACACACGAGGCTGCGTTTAGATTTTTTTGCTTCGTCTAAAAATGTGTAAACTATAATTCTTCAACAATAAATGTAAATATGGAAGGAAAGCAGGCGGGAAGGTAGCTCGACTCACCTCTTATCGCTTCACATTTCAGCCACAGACTGTATTTAAAAGATGGTCGCAACCAAAGGGGCGTCACCTTTGTTGAGGATACCTGCCACCATTTACTTTTCAAATTCTGAAGTGTGTGTGTGTGCGCGTGTGTGTGTGTGTGTGTGTGTTGAATACACTTTAACTGCTGTGTATTCATCAGACCTCTGATAACTGAGGTAATTTTGATCGCAGCGCATCTGTGAATTTATTAAATATTTTCCCAAATAAAATTAAAAGTTTATATTAAAACCAACCAGAGATTTCCGATTTGTTTTATAGCCTCAGATTTTCCAGTGTTGCACTTTTAGACGTCGTCTAAACGCCTGTTCACCCTTACTGGAGATTTGACTCGGTGGAATTCTACATCATAACCACAAACGCCTCTGAAACCCGACCCTGACTAAATGGCATGTCGACAAAGCTCACGCCTCTTGTGATTGGCCTGTTGAGTACCATCACCTCTCCTGTTTCCAGCTATGTTTTTGGGGCAGTTCTTGAATTTAGCCGTCAGAATAAAATTATTGTGTCAGTATAAGGAAAAATAATCATACGGTCAATATAAGGACACAAATGTCTGCAAATTCATGGTGGGAGATGGCTGAGACCTTCAGAATGAGCAAAGAAGTGAAAAAACTAGAGGGACAAATTTAAGAGTGAGAACCTAGAGAGGGGAAAAAATACCTGGCTTTTTGATTGTATCAGCTGTCAAATAAAACAGGGGCATAATCTCACCATAAATGCCGCTGCTAACATAGGCTACATTATTGACTCTGCAAAGACTCATTGCAGAAGTCTAAATCAGGTCTCTGATGAACACTTTTTGAGTGAAAGTTGTTGGGAAAAGGTGCGTCTGTGTTTCCTGAAGTCAACGCACGTGGGGTCAACTTGTGTGTGTGGACTGTTTTATGGACAAAAAGATGTGACAACATGTACAGGCCAGTGTAGAAACATAAAAATGGAGAATCGGGGTGAATCTGCAGTCCCTCCTGTGTAGCCTCATCTCATTTTAGTCCGTTTAAAATTCAAACTTCTGACTGATAGTCTGGCTCTTTAGGAATTGAGCAAGCATCTGACGCAGCAGAATCATCAGATTATTTAAAAACTAAGTCGACTAATGAGGAAGAGCATGCTTGTTAGTGTGCAGAGTGCTTCAGCATTGACAGATTTCTGCTTTTAAAAATGAATGATGTAAGCGTCTGAATAAACAGAGGGGGCAGAGAATAAGCTGTACTGTAGTGAACTTTTAAAAGAGCTTTGGAAAAACACAAACTAATTTCTCTGTTGAGTAAAATCTGAAGCTCGCACACTTTGCGGTAGTTTCCCGGGAGAAACCAAAGCTGGAGGCAGTGCAGAGAACCTCAGCAGGGGAAACAGGAGTGCTGAGCTGGTGAAGTTTTGAAGACTGAAAGCTGAAAGTTTTTCTCTGAATCGAGGGGACGATGTGACTGCTCCCTCGTTGACTAACAACTAATGACAAGCATACGTGTGTTTATCTTTGGACTTTATTTAATTCAGCTTAATAAAGTGTGACTTAATAATGCATATGTCTCTTTTTGAAATGAAGCTGTTGAACTGATTTGTTTTTTAAAGGTGTTAAATGTGTTTAGTCTTTCAATTTAAACTTTAAGTAGAAAATTTTCTTTCTTTTTTTATTTTTAAACTGAAAAAAGGGTGTCCCGATAAAACCCTGCAAAACCCCCGCATTGTAAATAGAACTTCCCACTTCCTGTTTGACAGGCTGGACCTTCGGTGTGGAGCACTTCTCTGTAACAATATGAAAGTTTTGAGTGTGTGGTTAGTTTTTACAGCGAGAAAAAGCTGGCGAGCGGGGAAAATCCTTGCAGGAGAGATCAGAAACGCCACACAATTCGTTTTATTACCAGTAAAAGGGCTGAAAAAAAAATTCCGTACTTCAGCATAAGTAATGTGACGCTCCTGAACTGGCCTCTGTTTACTATTAATTTACAGGAAATCTGAGAAATGCAACTGACTCAGGCTTTGTTTTGTCCGTAAAACATTTCTCTAAACTTTCTATGAGTAACAGCTGTGACACAGTTGTAAGTATGATTTGGTTCCTGAAAAAAAATTGCAGCAATCGTTAAGTCCTGTTGGGTAAAACTAAACGACGCCACTTGATACTGATGCTCACCTGTAGAGACGATCCATACCAACGCTGGGATTGGTATCAGATCGATAATCTGGCTCTATCCTCCAAGTTCAGCATGTAGCCCACTGAATTGTTTTTTTTTTTTTTTACAAATTAAAAAATGTACTTCAAACATGCACAATAAAAAATCTCTGAATCTTTTTGTGTTGAAAGTCACATCTTTTAATAATAGCCTACAGCACATTTAAACAACAGAAGTTGACCCAAAGACAGGCACGTATACCTTCCTCTTCTCAAAACAAAACCGAAAGGTCTTAACTTATTATTGTGGAAAATGAAAGTGATTTGGTGGTAATTGAAATGTGTTCAGAATTTGGTGAACTGAGATTGATCTCTTAAGTTATGAAGCACTGCTCTACCTTACATAAGCTGCCTTTATAGGTTAAAAGTATCAGTATCGGTATTGATATCAGCAATACCTCCCCTGTATTTACCGGGTGTTTTTGACCTTTCAGACGGGGAATGTAGACTATTAAAACATTCCTCTTTCCGAAGAGTTTAGAAGAAGGTCTTGTATAGAGGTTATTCTGCCTGTAAACACAATAGCTCAAAAAATTTTGAATCAATTCCAACAAAACTTTGCAGGGGTGTAGACCAGCGGTCCCCAACCAGATCGGTTTAATGTCAGACAATATTTTCACAGACCAGCCTTTAAGCTGTCACGGATAAACAACAAAATAAAATGATACGATCAAGACAAAAACTGTGGTGTTTTGTAAATATAATAATAAACGTGAATTCACTGTGTAATTGTGTAACTTTATTAGCAGAGTCCTCCGGAAATGCTGCAACAACATTAAGAGCAACATCCTCCGCTCTGCCCCTTAATGCCCTCTGGTCACTATGGTAATGCGTAAATATTTCTTTCAAAATAAGACGCACAACTACAACATGGGAAAAGATCCAGGGAAACCGAGTTAACGATAAAAACCCTGAAAACCATGAATTTCACACCTGAGCCTCAACTCTCGTGGCCCGGTACCAGTTCATGACCCGGGGGTTGGGGACCGCTGGGGTAGAGTGCGGTGATGTTAACAGTCCAATAAAATTTGGCCTACATCTACTGAGGTCTTGAAGGTCAGCAGATTGATCTTAATGTCAAAGTGCTCTGTAGACTTAAACCTATGATTCTTCCTACCTTTGTCTGTATTAACAACATATAGGCACGTAGGGGATGACATACGGGGATTCTAAGTATCTTCCTCTGGAGGTCAACCAGGGTCAAACTTTCATAAAATGTCTATTATCTTTAAAATTATGTCTTTAAAATTCTACTGCCTTTGTTTGTATTGGAAATATTTATGAAATGATGCTGTTATGCCTGGGCTGAGGTAATAAGGTAATAGGCTTCGTCTGGCCACGAAACTGCTTGTCAGTCATCTATCCCAACAAAAACTATACAGAACGAAGATCAGTGATCACAGGGTGGGTGGAAGACGCGATGAAGCACCTCGTGATAACACCAAAATAAGATAAGATAGAACTTTATTAATCCCTCGGGTGGGTTCCTCTGGGAAATTCGATAATTCGAAAATGTGCAAAGGATGAAAGAAATGACGGGAAACCGTGCAAAGTTGAGCAGTTTATGAAGACGTGCCAAACATTTTTGTCTAACCTCACACCTCCGTTTAATCGTCTTTGTGACCATTTGACCTTTGACCCTACAAATGTCACATACTCCATTACACATAATACGCATTGCAAAACCTGCATAACTATTAACAAGTCAGCCATGTTCCTGTGAATCAGAAATAGCAAAGAACTGTTAGAGACATGCGTCATTACTTTAAAATGGTCATCAAAGCGAATTTAGGGGAAGTCCCAATGACGTCTACAGCATCTCATAAGAGGAAGCGGAAGATGCACCATGCCTGGGCACCATGCGTCTAAAATCAGTGTTGTCATCTTGGTTTATAGGAGACATCCTCACAAAAATGGCTATTCTGCTTGGACTTTTTTCAACTCTCCTATTTGGTAAGCTTTATATATTTTTATGCAAAGCCTGTGTGTTTACATTAAAGAAACAAAGTCAGCTGGTTTCTGTGGGATTGGGTTTGAAACTCATATTAAACATGGCTGTTTGTTGCATCATCGAAAAGTCCAATACCGGTGTTTGAGACTCATTAACTGCTGTATTTTTTTTTTTTTTACATTTTAGTGTCTGAAGCCATATTTGTGTACAATGTCAACTCAACCATCATGGACTCAGCACTCCTAGGATGTAGCGTGCCAGTTAAAACAGACTTGAAAAATCTTCGCTTTTACTGGCAGGATGAAAGGAAGGCTGTTTTGTACTCTTTCAATAAAGGACAGACAATGTTCAAGCACGTAAAAGACCCTTATCTGAACAGGACCGCGGCCTTCACCCAGGAAATGACGAAAGGAAATATTTCAGTCCTAGTCAAGAATTTGACTCTTGGGGATAATGGGAGGATATTTGAAGCTTACGCTGCAGTTTTTAATGGTTCGGAGACAGTGATGCAGACCTCAAAAGTTTGCCATGCAAATTTGTATGTAACAGGTAAGAGAGGAAGTTGGCTTTGCTGATGTTTATGTTTTATGAAGAAGTGAGTATACCAGCGAAATTTCTGAAAAAGGCTTTTTTGAGTTAACACTCAAAGTTCACACTAAATATGCAGAAGTTGTTTGGGATTAAAGAGAAAAGAGAAGATATGTGAACTCTTTTCTTTTTGTGAATTTCACTTTAGTTAGAGCACATGATTTTAAATCATAATGGATTGCATAACTAAAGACGCAACTTCCCATGTAATTTATTTTTAACTCACTACATGTAAGAGTTATCTGACCCAGCCCTGGTCATGAAGTAAAAGTGACCTTACAGTTGGGATTCTCTAAAGTTAATTTATTTTAACATAAACCTTCGAACTAATTTTGCGTTTTTTTTTTTTTTTTTAACATTTGGCTAACTACCTGCTAGCTAAAGATATAAGATATAAAATAAAGAAAAAAATTAGAGATTTAGCTGATTTTGAAATATGTTATTAGCTGTGGAATACAACAGGCTAGCTGTTAGCTTTGGATAAAACTGGGTTTATGGTTAGCTTTAACGATCAGAAGAAATTACTTCTACTGATTTAAAGGTATTAGTGGATGGATATTATTAGCCATGACCATGCAAACTATAGTTGATCACAGAGGGTTTTGGGAGCCGGTTGGGGAATAAACGCTTTTCTCTAGCAACAGATCGGTTGCTAGGGAAAGATTCAGGTCACTGATTGGTCGGTAGGCCTGTGTGACTTTAGCAGTCATTTTCCCAGCAACTACCACCAACCAGTCAGGAATTATTCATTTCCCCTCATGACCAGTCTCGATGTCAGACAAGTTAATGTCATCACGTGTCTGCAAAACCTCAGTAGGTAGAATGATGGTATCAGTTTGATTAATCTAACTCTCACTCGAAACCGAACAAGCATTCTTAAAGATGAAAGGGACTTTTTTTTAAATTGACTTTAACATTCTTCCCCTCTCTCCTCAGTGCCTTACAAGCACCTCAAGCTGGCTGTAAACACTAAAACAATGACTTCAGTGTGCACGCTGCATGGTGTATTTCCAGCTCCTGAGATACGCTGGACCATCCACTACAACCACTCTGAATCCTTGGTTGAGTCGAAGCATGTCCACACTAAGACAGAGCAGGATCCTGAAAACTATTTGTACACCTCCAGCAGCACTCTCCACATCCCTGCAGATCATTACCAAGCCATTACCTGTCTGTGCCACAACCCCACTTCAAATACGACTCTGAACGCCACTTATACTTTAAGCAAAGGTAGGTTAAAAGTTCATAATGCCCTGTTTTCAACATGTTGAGTCAGAAAACAGGAAACAGGAAGAGCTTTGTGGATACAGACTGTGTCTTTCTGCTTCTCCAGGTGCAGCAGTGTGGAGTTTACCTGGCCGGACTGCAGGTCTCATAGTGGCTGCTGCAGTTCTTCTAACAGCTCTGCAGCAGCTGTAGTTCACACATGATGTGAGTTGATCGACAGAAGAAGCTTTTTTCAGGTTTATATATGTTTAAAGGACGTGTATGTGTTTCTGTCTCTTGTGTATGTGACACAGCAACATCTTAGTGCCTTTACATTTTGAATACAGGTATTAGAAATAGATGAATCTGTGTATTTTGTCCACCTGAAGATAGAAAAATCTGTTAATTTATTTTCTGTTCCTTTCTCAGGGCCTGGTTTTGGTGGTGGACGACTTCAGCTGGTCTAGGATATTCAAAGTACACCAAAGTTTGTGTGACTTTTGATGTATTTATAAGTGTATTTATGCCACACTACTCCAGTCTTATTGCAAGCCCAAATCAGAGACTTTTGAAAATGCTGCTTATCCAGTTTCAGTCTGGCCTGGACGGGAAAACACAGACTGAGTTTCATGAATCAGAAAAATGAAACCAAAAGATCACACCTAGGATCAGGTTCCCTGTGTGGTTTCATCCATTTCGTGTCAGTAGTTACTTCAGGATTTCATAAAAGGAACAATTGCGCACACATGTGGGTTAAAAACCTCGAGGTGGATAATAATAGTCCTGCTAGTTTTGTGTTCAGTGCGGGCAGAAGATGAAAGGAGTAGAGATTGTGAAGGTGGATGAGTTTAAATGTTTGGGCTCGACCTTCCAAATAGACAGAGCAGACGAGACGTGAAGAAAAGAAACAGAGGAAGACCTCGGAGATTCATGGATGTAGTGAAGGACTGGTGATGGGGGAGGGTGCTGGGAGTGATCTGTTTTGAAAAGCAGCAGAAATCTCCTTTTAAACTTGTTTGGTTTTTTTAGCACTATGATTGTGAAGCACTTTGTTATATTTATCTATATGAATAAAATGTTATTTTACTTATGCTTCTGTTTCTTATTTTACAGTTTTGCCATTAAAGTTTAAAGGTTTTTTAGTTCTTCCTGATATTTCCTGGTGGTTCCTGTAAAGTTTTGGAAATCCATTCAGATTATGCTGATGGCATAGTGAACTACACTCACCAGCCTTATTGTGATTGGCTCATAACTTTGTGGCAAGATGTAAACATAATGGTCTCCCCCTGCAACCCATAATAATGGCAGAGGAGCGCGCTGGACTGCAAACAACAAAGCACCTTTACAACCTTACTTTTTATGCTGCTGGGTGGCTTCATTTACAATAATACATGTTTTTTAGTATATTTATGTTTTATATTATAAGCAGAAAAATGTTTTATTCAGACTTCAAGAGAAATATGGTGAAGGAC